TACGTGTGTACGTACTCTGAATATGTACGTGTGTGTACGTACTCTGAATACGTACGTGTGTACGTACTCTGAATACGTACGTGTGTGTACGTACTCTGAATATTACGTGTGTGTACGTACTCTGAATATGTACGTGTATGTACGTATCCCATGTACCTGTGCGTGTTCTCGTGTCAGTGTTTGCGTGTAGAAACATTTCCATTATCAACCAACTCATTTTCTCTTTTCCTTTTTATTTACCTGGAGCATTATTTACCTCATTAGGCCTACATATATGCCTAGAGCGCCAGAGACCAAAGACCGAGAGACCAGAGGGACCGAGCTAGGTTTAGGAGAGGCTTTAAAGTCTTTAAAGTCCATTTTGCGTCCGTTTTGTACGTCTGTGTGGGGTAGATTTTTGTATTGTTTTTGGGGTCTGTTTTGTGATTTTTTTTTTTAGGGGGGTGGGGTGAAGGGGTTTTGTATGTTTTGGGTGATTTTTCGTTTTATTTTTCGTAATTTTTTGTTTTATTTCATCACGTTTTGTTATTTTTTGTGTCTCTGTCTTTCTTTCCTAGAGCATGTCTCTCTCTTTCGTTCTATCTCTACTCTCCTCTCTCTCTCTCTGTTCTCTTCTCTCCCTCCTTCCCTCTCCTCCTCTCCTTATTCCCTTCCTTTACCCCTCCTTTCCTTCCTCCCTCTTCTCTCTCTCTCTCCTCTCCTCCTTCCCTTCCTTCCCCCTCTTTCACTTTCTCTCTCTCTCCCTCTCCCTCTCCCTCTCCCTCCCTTCCTCCCTCTCTCTCCCTCTCTCTCTCTCTCTCTTCCCCGACTTCCGAGTTTCTGCATCTCCCTCATCGCCCCCGATAAAAAAAAAAAAATAATTCATAGGCAGACCGAGGAAAATCGATGCAAATGAACAGCGAGGAAAGGAAACAAGCACACAGCGGAGAGGGGGGGGAGGAGAGGGAGGAAGGGTAGGAGGGGGAGAAGGGGGAGGAGAGATGATAGGGGGGAGGACGATAGGGGAGTAGGAGGGAAAGGGGGAGGAAGGAGGGGAGAAGGGAGAAGGGAGAGGAGGACGAAGGGAAAGGGGAGGGGGAGAAGGGGGAGGAGGGCGATAGGGGAGTATGGGGGGACAGGGGGTAGGAGAGGAACAGGGGAGGAGGGAGGGGGTGCGGACTGTGGCCCAGAGACGGTTGAGAAGGTGAAGGAGAGAGATCTATATTGAGAGTATTTTGGCTTTGTCTGAAATGGTGGTGGTATGGTGATGGTGATATGATGACGATGTGGTGGTGATGATGATGATGATGATGATGGTGGTGTTAGTGATGGTGATGATGTGACGGTGATGAACTGATGATGGTGGTGATGATTATCGTGGTGGTGGCGATGATGTTAGTAATGTCGTCCACGATTTAAAAAAAAACAACACAAAATCATTAACAATCCACAAATAAAAACAACCATAATAAAAATAACCACAACAATCACAAGTACCATCACCATCATCACTACCCTTCTTAAAAACCATTTCTATCACTACCATCTTCCTTCCTTCATCTTTACGAAAAAATCTCAGGTTAAAATCACAGCAAAAATGAAAATACAAAACCTTAAATATTCCTCCTTAAATCACATCTCATATGCATAATTTCCCAATATCCATTAATTTTATTTCCATATTCCCATGAATAACTTTCCATCATTACCTTGCTAATATATTTAAATATATTCCCATAATACATTTCTTTCATCATGTCTATAATCTATATTGTATATTCCCAACGGTATATATGCCAATGCTAATATTTTTTTTTTCCAATTATATTCCCAATATATACCTGGACGATTATATATCGATATATTTATATATATATTATATATATAATATATTATATATATATATATATATATATATATATATATATATTATATTTAATGTTCATGATCTCTCCAAGTATGTTTCCCTCAATATACCTCTATATTCCACTCGATATATCTTTAAATCTTCTTAATTTCCCAAAATATATTCCCTTCAACATATACCCCGACGCATATAACATATTCTGAAGCATATCCCACTCGATACGTATATCTATAAATATATATTTCATACATCGCAAATTCCGACGCACCCAATATGACACTATACTGCAGTGGCGATGCACAGCCACCAGAGAGCAACGGACAAAAGATACTGACAATAAAACAGTCTTTAGGTACAGTTACAACTTACAAAGACGTCTGTCCCGGATTACAAGTTTTATTTCGCTTATATAATATAATATATATATAATATATATATGTATATATATATACATACATACATATATATATATTATATATATATTATATATATATATATATACTGTATTTCTGTATCATTTACTTATTTACTCTTCCAAAATGTTTATGCTTAATATATCGCCTTCTCTTTGGAATGTTTACTACACATTAGGGATGTTAAAAGACTGGATAGTAATTTGTCAACTTTAACGACGTGCTGTCTCTAAAAAATAATGTCTGCGTGTTAACAAACGGATTAATATATTAGATCGATGTAAAGAAACACGAGCATGTATGTATATTCGCAGCCATGAGGGAGATGCAACTGACGCAGTATTTACGAGTTGTCTTAAAATATATCCCAAGACCGGTAACTCACTTCCCAACACCGTTTTAACTTTATTTCTCAAACAAGCTTCCTGGCTCGAACCGCGAAACACTAAGCTACAGCAAAACCTAATAAGTCTGTTAAACCACGAACTTCGAGGCATAATTCCGGGACCCTAACCACGCGACGAGAAAAACAAGAGGTGCTGACGCAGTGCTCGTGAGACGGCCGTCATTAATAAACCATGGAAATAAACAGCATAAATAGGTCTACTTCACAATACACAACAACCAGAGAAGCCTACATAACCGGAACGAATTATAGGACTACGACTGAGGACCGACTGACAAAACTAACTTTAAACAATTAACTGCAACCGCACGGGCAACAAAAGTGATGCGTAGACCACGACGGGAAAATACACGACCTAGCTGATGAGACTACCAACCTCAGCTACGTTACTTCACAGCCAGCAAACGCAACAGCACAGAGACCTTGGCTAACATCCCTGACGAAGCATAGATGCCAGAGAGAAGAAAAAAAAAAGCAAAGGCTACAAAACTCAAGCACAAGAACACAAAAGGGTATACTCGTCCTAGAGATTTGGCAACAACTAGATCTAAATATAATCAGAGTATAAGAAAACACTCACATGACTGCATTAAACGGGTAAATGTAGCAAGACATATTGGGCAAAATAGGGAATGACGGAACACTAACAGACATGACTACTAAAGTACTTACAGTACTCACAAAGAGAACAAATGATAACTATGGAAACCGGATTTAACACGAAAAACGAGTGTTCTTTGATTTCCGTCGTTTGCGACTACATCATACAGTTCTGATAAACTTTACATTGTGAGTGAATGAGAATGTGTGTGTGTGTGTGTGTGTGGTGTGTGTGTGTGTGTGTGTGTGTGTGTGTGTGTGTGTGTGTGTGTGTGTGTGTGTGTGTGTCCACATTTGCCCAAGAACATAGTAAACTCACAGAATGACAAAAAACTAAAACAAATCTCCCTCTATTCTTAGTCTCCCTCCACCTGCACTCTCTCCACCACCAACAAAAATCCCCGTCAACTACCAGTCACCCCCTACCACCATCAATTCCCCCCTCGACCTCCCCTACCTCCTCCTCTTCCCCCTCCCCCATCCACCTGCAGCAGACCCCTTCCTCAATTCCGATTTCACATCACAGTGCAGATTGTCGCCACCCTCTGTCACTCAATTAATCAAGACGACAAAGTCCGACCCCTCGTGACTGCAGCCTTTGCTAGTCCATCGATTAAAGGGGCCCTGACCATTCAACGAAGCAGCAAGGAGGCGACACCCGCACCACTAGCACTCAGGGATCACCTTTAAATGAGTCAAAAGGACATCTACCAATGTGCTTTTTCGTCCCTCCGTCGCAGCGGCGAAATGGGGTGGCGGGTCTTCCTTCCACTCGGGAGAACTCGAGGACTCAGGCACGAATGAGTTAGAAAGAACAGAAAAAATCACCACGCTCCTGTTCCTCCTCCTCCTCCCCGGCTTGTGTGTGGACAAGTCTCCAAAATGTTATCTGCGTCATTTCGTAAAAACGGCAATAAACGAAAGCGTAGGCCTTTCCGTCTCAGGAGTTTGAACTTTATTGTTACGTCGCTCACTCGTCATCGGCATTTAAGATTGTCTGGCTCACCGTAAGACGGGGATGAGAACGCCAAAGACAGAGTTCAACGCAGTGGCATCGAGACTGGCTGGCACGCATTGGTGGAACACTGGAAAACGCATTATGTCACGCAGCAGCAGCAGACTGTGCAGTACGAGACGCAAGGTTTACGTCACACGGACACAGCACACTGTGCGGTGCTTGAAGCGTTTGGGATCCACTGTTCGGAGCGAGACCTGCGTGGCAATGTTACAAAATTCCAAGCAAACCTCCATCAGAGAATTTTGAAAACACCTTCAAATTTCTCTTTCTTTCGAACTCAATTTTAAAGGAGGATCGTGTGGGGTGCAAACAAAACCATTTATCAACAGACATTCATTAGCGACTTGTTCCCTTTAATTGTACAACATGAGTGCATCGAGTGTCCTGCCCGTAACTAGCGCCCACGAACCTCCTCTCGGGACGGCTGTCATCGGTCTACTGGCCGTTTCCCTGAGCAGAAGCCTCCAGCCGTCGCGCTCTCGTGTTCCCTCGCCTCTGAGTGGTCGCGGAGGCTCACAAAATGGCGGACGCTCGCGCATGCGCACTCGCCGGGTCTCGTGTTCTGTCATAATGGCACGGTAAAGTATTCATGGCCTTTATCCTTTTCTAGGTGCACATCATAATGGGTTATTTTGCACGAGTAATGTTGCCGTCTAAATTGCTGTACACTCCAAGGTAGTTTAAGAGGACGCCTACTGTGCTTCATCAAAGAACGTATTCAAAAACTACTCAAAACCGTACAAAATGCCGCACTGCGAGATAAATTTTGATAGCAGCTATAGAACGATGTCAGAGAGATCGCCAGTATGATTAATTAGGCTGCGCGACGTGATTCTTTAAACCGGAGCGCCAGACGGCTAACTCCATGTCCAAACTACGGAAACCGAATCACCGGCCACAACCCCCGCTACCAGAAGCTCGCTCGCTCAAAGACCATTTATTTCCACGTCGCTCACGAACGCCTTTTCCGCCTCCCATCGAACAATAAGTACAGGAGAGTTGCGCCTGCACATGCACCGGGGCAAGAAATGCAATATGCCCAGGATGCAGTGTTCGCCCGGCGGAAGCCATTGGTCAGAGTGCAGGGATTGGAACACGGCCGCCGCCTGTACCTCCTCCTCCGTACCAGCTCAGTCACTGGACTAAGTTGAACCACGTTAGACCGGCTATTGTGGAACAAAATATACCAGTACAAGCGAATGTACCAGTGGAAAACGCGG